TATAGATTATCTTAATAAAATTTTGAGTAATTTTAATTTATTTAATTGTTCAAAATTGTCCAAAGTGTCCAAACTCATTATCCACAACTGTCTTGTGACAATACTGCCAAAGATGCTAAAAAAAAACGTATAAGTATGAGGAGTTAAAAAAGTTGCTATATAATACTCTTGAGTCTAAGGCTGAAATAAATGATCTTTGTGAAAAGTTGTAAATACATTATGAAAAACTACTTGAACATAGCTCTTTCAGAGATGATAGTAACAATAGATTAAGTAGCTAATAGGCAATTCATATTTGCTTTATTTTTCCTATCTCTTCTGGCTTCTTTTTCATATAATGCATCCAGATCCTCACTACTTATTTTTCTGTCTTATTAAGTGTGGATACTATTATATCAGAGTTATTATTAGCTATTAAATCGGATTTGTAAAAGCAGAGCTTATGATTACATAATACAGATTTAGATCTAGATTTTAAACTAGATTTGGAACTTTTCTTTTTATTTCTTTGTCAGGGAGAGTAGTAGATTCTAAATGTAAAACCTTGCATTCGTTCTGATTAGAATATTCAGATAAGATTGTTGATATAGATAATATTTTAGAAGAAATAGTACTTTGTATCATTTGTTGCTAGCATTCACGATTTTTCCATATATCATTGAACCAATTTTCATTAATACAGAAATCTCTAATTATTTTATATTTAGAAACCTTACCTTTGAGTGCTCTGATTGTTTCTATTTGTTCAGAAGTTAGAAATGTAGACCTCTGGTGATAATATGTATTTAGATATTGAGTATTTATGACTTGATTTTCTATTCAATATTTTATAACAATAAAAAATAATATATATTATTATATATTAATATAAAATTAATGAAGCTAGTATAAGATGTTAAAATAATATTTATTGTTATAAATAAATGAGAAATATTAATATAGCTATTTTATAAGTATTTTTAATAGTTAAATGTTATTTATTTTTAATAGTTAGTGATATCTAATATTATTTTTTAATAATTAACAATACCTAACATTAAATATCATTCTATATTATTAGATATGGCTAATGTATGTATATTGCAAGATATTAATAAAGGATACAGGTTGGGTAGTATGCGTAAGCAAGAGTTTGAAGAAAAATTATATAATACTATCAAATCCAAAGCAGAAATTAATGACCTTAGCGAGAAATTACAGGATAAATACTCAAAGCGAATGAAGGCTTTTGATCGAGAAAGAAAGGAGTGAAATCAGAATTCATTACGAAATAATACTAAGATCCAAAAGTTACACACTCACAGTTTGCAGGTTATTAATGAGCGTAAGCAACTACAAAATGAAAATACTAACCTTATTTCTCATAATACACAAAAGAATATTTTATTGCTAAATCCAAAGCTGAGATTATTACAAAATTCAAGAAAATCAAATCACTCGAATTTATAATCAAGATATTAGAAGGTAAGTTGTCTTCAGCTTAAAAAGATATGATTTCAATTCAAAATAACTCATTAAAAAAAGATTCTGAGAATTTATTTTTCAAATCCAAAATAGCTGAATTAGAAAATATAAAGAGCAAGTTGAAATTGAAGGTTAATGAACTTGGATGTCTGAAATCGGGGGCTATATCAAAACCCATAGACCCTTTGGGTCATTGCTCTGCAATAGTTGGTGGAGATGACAAAAAAAAATACGCAAAGCAAGAAACAAAGTTCCATAACCAAGTCTGACAATATATCTGCAGTATTGCAAAGCAATGACACTTACGTGTCTAGTGAACCTAGTAAAAATCTTAGCGAGAAATTACAGGATAAAAACTCAAAGCGAGTGAAGGCTTTTGATCAAGAAAGAAAGGAGTGGAATCAGGATTTATTACAAAATAATACTGAGATCCAAAAGTTACGCACCCACGCTTTGCAGGTCATTAATGAACATAAGCAACTACAAAATGAAAATACTAATCTTATTTCTCATAA